CGCGCGGCGGCCGGGGCGCCATCCGCGGCAGCTGCGGTGGCCGCTGCCACGGCAATTGCATGCTTGTTCTGTTCATTCTCTGTCTCAGCAATATAGGATCTGAGCCAGGTGTTATCTGTGGCAGGGACATCCACATCTTTCCCTGGCTTAGCAAAACTCCACCTTTTCTTCTCCTTCTTGTCAGGAGCCAATGAGCCTGAATTGTCACTGTGGTCCTTCTCCTTCTTCATCCCCAACAACCCTTTCAACCACCTGCTAGCTTTCCCCATAACTTCACAACTCTTGGGTCACGATCTGGAATGAGAAACGGTGCCAAAGTTAAGTGCTTTATTTAGAGTGTGAAAGTGTGGTAACCAAGTGAAGCCAGATGTTTGAATATACACACAAGGGAGGGGTGAAAAACTGAAAACAAAAGAAAACAATCTTGGTTTAAAAAATGGAGGGGCAAAGGAACAGGTGGAGTGTTAAAGAATCTAGCAGAGAAGTGATGAGAGAAAGATGGATGAAAAGATTAATAAAACGGGCTTAAGAATTAAAATGGATAAAGATGGAACGTTTTTTTGAAAATAAACCTCTGACAGGACCTCGTGAAGAAGTGCATTAGAGGACAAAAAGCGGTCACAGAAAGTTAGCAGAGGCTGAAATGAGAAAACATTAAAATAGTTGAAAAAACTTCAAAATCTCACCCGGTTGAGTAAAGAGACAAGAATTACAGACAAAGCACAAAGGTGAAATCCCATGAAAAAAGTGACAATAATAATCATAGGGAAAAGCCCCCAACACCCAAAACAGCTTCTTATCTGATCTTAAATTCAAAAAAGAGAAAGAGCGCCGAATTCCCTTCCCACCCCACTCACTCCAATAACACTACCAAGTACCAATTCTCTCTCACACTTTGTATTATGTTTATGACTTTATGTTATGTTATTCTACAATAACCCTCTCTCTAACTTTCTGGAGCAACGTGTAGTACATATTGTGAAAGATACCCACTGACAACAATCCCGTGAGCTTGGTTCAAACCCGGCATTGAGTAAAGGTTCAAACCAGGCATTGAGTCCCTCTCATTACCTTGCTTTATTTGAAAGAAAAACTGGACTGTGAGTTAAGTTCTGGAACCGAATAACACCACTTTAAAGGCTAAAATAAAAAAACTTGCTCTCATTTATAGTACACTGTGTTGTGTACCACTCATTAAAGGCTTCACCAACTAAAAGGGCTGCTTTATATCATCTTTTTTGTCCCAAATAATACCCCAAATTTGGGTCTGAGGTTTTTCTTTGCCAAAACATTTTTCAGTTTCCGTATCACCTTAACAACAGTCATTCCAGAAAACACTTTCTCCCCTCGCCATCATCATTTTCCATTGCTTACCTTCTCTGCCACACTTTCGCCTCTCAAAAGTGCCTTTACACACTCCAAATCAATTGTTACTTCTTCAACTAAGCCTCTCTCTTGATCTGATTTGGGTGATTAATTATTGGGTTAAGATTCAAATTTTGAATTTAAATATTTTTTAATCAGTGTCTTGGGGAGTTTTCGGAGATTTTGGTTGGTTGCATTGTTACCCCTTTTTTTGTTTAACTTTTGTGCAAGAAGGTTTTGGCTGATTTATGAGAGAATACTAACCGGCATAGGATTAAAGGGAATAAAAAGACAAAATAAACCTCTAGTGTAAGAACCCATAAAGAGGTGAGGGAATACTATGGGATAAGAAACATTTTCTCCGGAGATTTTGGCAGACAGTCGGAATCCTAATAAATTGAATTCAATGTGCCCTTCCTTGCATTGGTTATAAGGATGGAAGATGAAATTGAAATGTTTGTAATTATGAAAGGATAATGTTGCTACAATTTTTTTTCATTCTATTATTGTTTTGAAAGTATTCAACAGATTTGTAAATCACCGATCCGCAATTTTATGTACAAGCCGAGATCGGGATAAACTAGTATCTTTTATGCCATGATTTTATGTCTAAATACTTTGTTAAATAATTAAAATATTAAATCATTTAAATTAATGACTTTTGATTTTAATAAGTTGTTCAATTTGATTCTTGAAGGATGATAGAGTTGATCAATAAGTCCTAAAAGATTTTCTTGAAACATTTGAGATCTTATATTTTAATCCTGATATACAAGTTAGTCTTTTTGTTATATTTAATTACTATCTCAGTTAGTCTTATGATTAATCAAAAATTAATTGTCACATTAGTTTTTATTCTGTCTCAATTGGTTGTTTTCTCTCATAATCACTTAATATGGACCATAATGCAAAGTTTATGTTAGCACTTATTCTCTCTTAATTGGTTGTTTTCTCTCATAATCACCTAATATGGATCATTATGCAAGAGTTTGGTATTTTTCAATCTGTTATGGACACTTTGTCACGTTTAAATATTTTGGCCAAAGGTACTCAGTTAAAATGGAAGGTTATTGTTAGGTTTCTTATGGTTTTCTATAGTTGGATTTTTCTATCTCAAACAATCTTAATTTTTTTCCTCTATTTTGACTACATGTTTAAAATTGTAAATCTTTAATTATTGTTATGTTTAATGAACCGTAAAACTTTTCATTCCAAGCTCAATTAGAGAATTCATCAAATGAAGACAATGTTCATCAAATTGTGGTGCAATCTACATCATTTGAGGGAAAAGAAAGTCAAAATCAACTACAAAAGACTCATCCTACTGGTCTATAACTAACTATATTTGTAGATGAAGCTATTGATGACACTAATCATGTTGACACATGATCATAATATGAGTTTGAGGTGCTAAGATCACCAACAAGTTCGGATGAAGATGCCAATAAAGGAGGAAGACTTGTTTTCCCACAATTTAATGAAAATGCACAGTTCAACAGCATTAAATTGGAGGTTGAGATGAAATTTTCCAACCTACAAGTATTTAAAAAGTTCCTTCTAATTACACAATTAACATTTGTAGAGAAATTAAGTGGGTGAAAAAGGACTTGATTAGGGTTAGAGCTTCATGTGCAAGAAAAAGAAATGTCCATGGACAATTTATTAATGCCAAGAATGATGATAGAACTATTTTTTAAATAAAGACATATGTGAAAGAACACGTGTGCAACAAATTGTTTAAGATACAATAGGCACCACATAAATGAATAAGAGATAAAATTAAGCAGCAACTCGAGATACATCCTACAATGACCTCTATAGTAGTATTTAACTACCTTGAAAGGGAATTTAGAATTCATGTTGAGGAAACTAAGATCTTCAAGCTATGAAAGAAGCTAGATAAAGAATTAAGGGTAACTATAAGGTACAATATGGCCAAGTGTATAACTATGCACACGAGGTGTTAGGAGCAACCCTGTTTCTACATGCAAGTGCCCTTCCTTACACCTGTAGCTGCTCCTCAATTTCAAAAGTTACATGTTTGTCTAATGCATGCAAACAATGATTTAAGGCAAGGTGTAGACCATTCACTATACTAGATGGTTGTTTTCTTAGGGGTATTTTGGTGAACAATTGCTATCGGTTGTTAGCCAAGATGCAAACAACCAATTTTTTGTAATTGCCTATGTTATAATGGATGTTGAAAACAAAGATAATGGAAGTGGTTTTTAACTCTGCTACAAGAAGACCTTCGAGGTCACGCAGCCAACAAGTGGAATTTTATGAGTGACATGCAAAAAGTACATGTACATGCAATGTCGTGGACAATTTTGCTTATTTGTTAAATGTTTTGAGGATATAATTTCTAGTTTTGCAATATATGAAAGACTAATTTGTCCATTTAATTTTTCACATGCAATGGTTGATTCTAACCTTGAAGGAGGTCATGTCTGCTATACCTCACAAATTTTGTGTGAAGCATTTGTGGAAGAAATTCAGTAAGTAATGGAAGGACAAGGAGAGTAAAGCATTGGTCAGTTAATGTGCAAAGTCAACTACTTTGTCTGAGTTTGAAATACATATGCAAAAGTTTAGAGAAAAAGTGAGGTTACTTATTTTTATCTTAAAAGGTGAGGGCTTGATTCATGGTCAAAGACCTTCTTCGAAGAGACTTGTAAGGTTGACAACATAGTGAATAACATTTGTAAAGTTTTTTAATGTTTAGATTGTTAAGTACATGGAAAAACCTATTTTAACCTGTTTGGAGGAAGTTAGAGGCTGACCTTAACATAGAACTAAGATGAAGTTTGCTGGGAGGCCTAGATATTTAGTTCCAATGCAATAAACTAGGCTGGAGAAAGAAAAAAGAAAAAATAGTTTATGGACTCCTATTTGGTTAGGAGGAGATTTAGATGGTGATAGATGTGAGTTTCAAAACTTCACTAAAAAATTAAATGTTAATTTGAACATCAACATGGCTTTGACAACAACATTTGTTTCATTTGTTTGGGGTTATGCTTCTATTAATAATTTTGTTTGTGGCAACAAACATGTTGTATTTCTTGAGGATAAATATCTACTCTAAGTTTAAAAAAAAATCTTTAATATTTAGATGGATGTATTAGATTAAGATTTTAAAAGATTTTTTTATATTAAAAAATTATTTTAGTATTCAATCAAGATTTTTCTAATATCAAAAATTATGTGATATTCAATTAAAATAATAAGAATTTTTTTAAGAGCATATCAAAATTTTGTAGTATTCAATTAAGATTTTTTTTTACTTAAAAAAATCAATTGATATTTAAAAACATAAATATTTCAATGAATTATTTTGATAGATTGATTTCATGAGATTTTTTTAGTAGAATTTAAAAATGATTAACTTATCTAATAATTTCACCAAAATTATTGAGATTTTGTACGATTTTTTTTTCTTTTTTCTTTCTTTTTTCTCCCTAGCTTATTTTGCTTCTCTCCCTTTTTCTTCTTTTGTTTTTTTTCCCTCTCATCTTTTTTTTTCTTTCTTTATCAACTTTCTCTTCCTTAACTCATCTCATTTCTTCTTCTACTTTTCTCTCTATTTTTTTCTATCATATTTTTTATCTATCAATATTTTTTTGTTACATTTCTGTTTTATCAATATTAATATATAATTTATCAATATTTATTTTTTAATTAATAAGTATTTAAAATTATTTTTGAATTATTAAATATTATATATTGTTAAAATTTCAAATTATTAAAATTTAAAAAATGTTTATTTTCAATAAAATTTCATATTGAAATTTCAAATGTTTTAACATATATTAAAAATATATTTTAAAAATTCTACTTGTTAATGAATATCATAAACTTGAACAATTCAAATTTAATACTGTGAATGAAAAAATATAAATGCACAGAGGGTTGTATATAGAGAAATGTTATTTAAGATGATATGAAACTAGAATCAATTGTTTATTAAATATATATTAAAAATATATTTTGACAATTCTACTTGTTAATGAATATGATAAACTTGAACAATTCAAATTTAATACTATGAATGAAAAATATAAATACACAGAGGGTTGTATATAGAAAAATGTTACTTAAGATGATATGAAACTAGAATCAATTGTTTATTAAAATATTAAAAAAATTGATTTTATTTTTTATTTAAACCTTATAATTTTTGTATGTAGAGAAATTGTATTATTTTTTTAAAATTTTATGTTATCCTTTGAAATCTAATAAAATTCTTTCAAATCTTATAAATTATTAATATATAAATTTATTAAAATTTATATTGTAAAATCTTGATTAAAAAAGTCTTTTAAAAAAATTAAAAATCATTACATTCTTACAAAATCTTTTAAAATTCACAAGACTTTTTGTACTAAAAAAAATCTTATAAAATCTCTATCTGATACACTTCTTTAGATCAACATACTGAATTTTTTTAGTAATAATTGAAATATAAACAAAAATGAGCTCTTAAATTCCTACACATAAATCAAAACTTAAATTGGTCCTTATAATGCACATACATATGTGCATGTAATATAATTTTACAAATATAATATATTTCTACATAATATAATTATCTTGCTGTTATTAAAATATTTCTTTATTCAACATTATCAATTATAAATAATTTTTGTTTTTTTAACAATATAATTATTTCTATTATAAATGCAGTATTTTTTA